GACACCATCACAGTAACAGTAACAACCGAACAATAGGCTGCGTGGGGCAACAAGGCCGGCAGGGGGTTTAGTGAGGAAAGACCAAACGACTGAACAGCAGGCTGCGTGGGGTGACCAGGCCGGCGGGGGGGCCAGTTGGGGGTGGCCAGGCTGGGAGGGGGGACAGTTAGGGGCGATCAGGTAGGCAGGCAGGTGAGCAGTTAGGAGCCAGAGGTCCTGGATTGTGAGAGGGATGTCCGACTACTGATTAGGCCCGATCCAGGATCGGGCCTAAACCGGCAGTCAGACATCTCCTGAGGGGTCCCAGATTGGAGAGGGTGCAAGCTGGGCTGAGGGGACCTGCCCCATGCATGAATTTTGTGCACCAGGCCCCTAGTAAACAATAAAAAGCCAATATTCTATTATTAGAGATGAGTTAGGTAAGGTTTTTGTTTGATTTTTTTTACCATAATACATTTTTAAAAATATGACTTCTAGCTTCTTTCTTGTGTATTTCTGTGGGTTTTTCCCCCAGAGTACATGTATATCATTTTTACAACTCAAAAAGGATAATGACCTTTTTGAAGAGATTAAAGATCACTTGTGAATGAAGGCAGAAAATGCCTGTCCCTCTAACCCCAATCATGCCCTACGTACGGCCAGGCTGGGGTGGGCACGGCGCTGACAAAGAAGGCCTCTTTTTCTTTCTTTTTTTTGGCTGGTGACATTAATGAGTCTTGTTTTGGACAAATACATTTTCTCTTCATTTGATAGTCATAAGATTATTAAACCTGGGGACTTAAAGGTCATCATCAAATGTAAAAAGTTAGCCATTCTATTGTATCCTGGGACATGTTCTCTAAAATTGTTGCTTTTTGACTGAAGTATTAAGGAAAAATAGACTGTATTGCCTTGGTACAAATGTTATAAAACAACAAATGTTTATGCCTTGTGAATATTAGCATGATAATTTTTGAGTTGTAGTTTTTTGGTTATGCTGGAATAACAGATTATTTTTATACTAGAGGCCCAGTGCATAAAAATTCATGCACTGGAAGGGGGGGCGGTCCCTCAGCCTGGCCTGCTCACAGTCCGGGAGCCCTCAAGGGGGGGAGGCGACCAGGGGAAGGCAAAGCTCCCCATCACACCTCTGCTGCTGCTGCCACTACCGGCCCCGCAAGCCTCGGCTGGCCCTGGTTACCTGAGTCTCAGGCAGCCCTGGGAAGCTAGGCAGCCACCATCCGAGGCTTGCCTGCGCCTCGGACGTTGTCTGGGCAGCTGACATCGAGGCTTGCCTGAGCCTCGGACGTTGTCTGGGCAGCTGACATCGAGGCTTGCCTGAGCCTCGGGCTGGCCCTGGGTGGCTGGGAAGTCAACATCCAAGGCTTGCCTGCACCTCGGACGTCATCTGGACAGCTGACATCGAGGCTTGCCTGAGCCTCGGGCCGGCCCTGGGTGGCTGGGGGGCTGAGGGTGGGTCCAGCCGCACCGTGTGCCTGCCACTCCCCCGGCTGGGCTGAAAGGACTGTGGGACTCCGGCAGGGCTGAGGGGATTGGGTGCCGCCATCTTGTGGCTATGGGCGCCACCACCTTTGTGACGGAGTGATGGTCAATTTGCATATTATGTCTTTATTAGATAGGATAAATAAACATCACACTCTTTTTTTAAATAGTGCATTATTTTTTAATGTATCAATTTTCCATTACAATGCAAATTTTTAGTATATTATATGTGTAGCTTTTGTTTAAGAACTAAATATGCATTTAGTGCTAAAACTGGACCATCCCCTTTGCCCTCTGTACAGCCAGGTATAGGATACCAGGAGCTCCTGGGCACCAAGTCATGTTCACCATTATGCTAAACACAACTCTTGTTTTCTATCTGTACCATATTGTCAAAAACAGCCTGGCTGGCATGGCTCAGTGGTTGAGCGTCTACTTGTGAACCTGGAGGTCACGGTTCAATTCCTGGTCAGGGCACATGCCCGGGTTGCGGGCTCAATCCCAAGAGTGGGGCACGCAGGAGGCAGCCAATCAATGATTCTCTCCCATCATTGCTGTTTCTCTCTCTCTCCCTCTCCCTTCCTCTCTGAAATCAATAAAAATATATTTTTAAAATGACAAGAAAGGGAAACAGTCTTCTAGCGTAGACATTTCCTGCCAGGAACTGGAAAGCTTTTGAGAGCACAATGCTCTCCAAAGAATGGAAAATCTTTTGGAAAGTGAAATATACACTAAATGAGCATGTAATCAAACTAAATACCAAATAAATTAATATTATGAAACCATTAAGTCAGTGCCAAATAAAATTCTACTCACTCTTCTTTTCTGTCGAAAGCGAAATATTCTTCGATTTTTCCATCCACATCGTAGACCTCTTCCTGCAGGGATGAACATGCCGCTATGTCAGCTACTTCTGTGCAGTCGGGACCTGGCAGGGCCGGGGCTGCAAGTGCTGCTGGGATTATTTGCGAGCCGGAGATGCACAACCTACGGCGAAAGCAGATTCTCCATGGGAGCTTGTAGAACGTCAAGAATACAATGTGTGCATGATTATGGTAGGTCCTTAAATTATCCAGAAAGTACAGAGTCCCAAATTTGAAAGTCACTAAATATTACACTTAATGAAAGTCATGTCCTTAGAAGCAACATTTTTAACACGGGCATCATTAAACATTGTAAGGGCTTCTTGGAAGCCTATATTACTCTATGAATTTGCATCCTCTTTGCTACAATGATAGGATGTCATGGCACCGTCCCAAGTACGTGTGACTGGCATGGAGGCATTCATTGAAATCTGTTAGTGAGCAAAAGAAAATAGCTGGAGTTTTAGTCCTTCTGCTGCTACTGCCTTGGGGCTTAGGATCCAGTAGTTTTGATTTTGTATCTACCTCACCTTTCAGAGATTCTTTGAAACAAAGGTTGAAAAGTTAACTCCCTTGCCCAGCCAGTGTGGCTCAGTGGTTGAGTGCCGACCTATGAACTAAGAAATCACAGTTTGATTCCCGGTTAGGAAACATGTCCAAGTTGTGGGCTCAGTCTCCAATGTGGGCTGTGCAGGAAGCAGCTGATCAATGACTCTCTCATCACTGATGTTTCTT